TACCCAAATTGTATACGTTGTTTGTGCAAAGAACCCCCCCAAAAAACATGTATCATGTCGTCTGTGTCCAGATTACTGTTTTCACATACAACCCCGAAGAACTCAGCGCACAAATAAAGTTGACGAAAAAATACACTACTGCGCATTGTGCATGCGTGTTGAAGCAAAATTTCCCTTTCGGAGAAGCTAGCACGCCGCGGAGAAGTGAGACCGTGACACCGGAGAAGTGAGTGAACAGGACGCTGGGAAGGGCTGACGGATTAACGCTCTGTGACCGGCAAGGCGTCACGGCCACGACCCTGCAAGGTTTGAAACGGCCGTTAAGACCGAGTCATTCGTCACTTTTGTATTCCCATTCATAAATGCGGCGCCCTTTTTGGGGTTGAAAGCATAAGAATGTAGGAAACTCTATAAAATTGAGCTGTTTTGTTCACAAGATTCTGTGAAGCTCATCTGCCCTTCCGAGCTCCCTGTTTGCAGGGCGGGCGGCGGGTACGAGCGAATTCCCAGACTTCGCTCGTACCCCCCGCCCTGCAAACAGGGCGGGGGATACAAGCGAAAAATTAAAAGTGCATAAAACAGTACTTTACTGGTATGTAAACCATAAAAAGAATGCACTAACCAATTAATTGACAAACAGCGCCCCATAAAGAAAAGCCAGCACTGGAGGAGGCTAGGAAAATTAACATCTCCTTTTTAGATATCGGATAAGCAGAGAAAGAAAGTAGATTTGAATAAAAAGTCCAATGTACTTTTTTTGGAGCGAAAATGTAAAATTTGTTTTTCTGCTATTGTGACAGCAATAAGGGAATAAATGTGTGTTTTGGAGGTACTAGTGCAGTGCCCGTCTAAAATGTGCATGTTCGGGAAGCGCAAATTGCTTTGCCGCAGGTATTGGTTGCATGCTTGCAGAGTTTTTGAGAACTGCTCGTGCAAACAACGCACGCGATTCAATGGTGTTGTTTTCACAGGTTGAACGCACACTCACGTCAAAGTTTGTGCCAAGTTTGAAGTTGTTTGGGCGAGTGGTTCTCGAAAAAGCTGCAAAAAATAGCGAAGATATTCACCCCTACTGGACAATGGTATAGCCCTGCAGTAAGGTTGCTCAGTCGACCGCCTACAATGGTCGCTCAGTCGGCTGCAAAAATGTGCCTGTGCAGCCACCACGTACGTTTACATACGGAAACGTGGTATGCACTGCTATTCACCCATACTGGACAATAGTATCGCCCTACAATGCACGTGCGCGTGTCGGTGTAGCATGAATTTAGGTTTTATGAAATACGGACTCATTGGTGGTATTGCGCATGCTCATGCATAGATAATTAGGAGAGGGCCCGGTCACGTGAGAGGGTTTAACCAATAAAAGGGAAAGGGTCCGATTTTCATACGAGCCCGTTTTTATGTGACACCGGTCCATTTTGCATTGTTTGCGTCATATTGAGCACGCGCGCTTTAGCTTGAATATGACGTAAACAATTGAAAAGAACATCAGTGCGTGGTGGTCTACATATACTGGCACGTTTGCCTCAGAAAATAGTACTTTTTTTGCAGCTTTTTCGAGAACCGCTCGTCCAAACAACTTCAAACTTGACACTGCACATTCTGTGGTCCCGAGCAATACACCTGCCGATTTTCAACTTCATACGGTGCCCAGTTCTGGAGATAATCGACGTACAGATAGACAGACAGACACACACACACACACGTTCCTGGAATTATGAGCCCCGTGCGCTACCAAAAGAGGCCGCCCTTTTACCTAGCAACGACGCCCCATGGGCGGGACATTTCACTGGTTGACGCGCACTGTTCCTTGTGTGTGACGCACGTACACCAGGGGATTTGTTCTATGTACACGCAGGGGTCGCGCTTCGCAGCAAATGAATTGCAGTCAGGCAAGATGGCGTCAGTCGGTCACCCCCACCTGTACTCTCTTTGCCGGTGAGGGGGTACTTGTGAACGGAGCGGATAGTAAGGACTAGTGCAGTGCCCGTCTAAAATGTGCATGTTCGGGAAGTGCAAATTGCTTTGCCGCTGGTATTGGTTGCATGCTTGCAGAGTTTTTGAGAACTGCTCGTGCCAAGTTTAAAGTTGTTTGGGCGAGTGGTTCTCGAAAAAGCTGCAAAAAGTAGCGCAGATATTAACCCCTACTGGACAATGGTATTACCCTGCAGTAAGGTTGCTCAGTCGACCGCCTATGGTCGCTCAGTCGACTGCAAAAATAATGTGCCCGTGCAGCCACCACGTAGGTGTACATATATGGAAACATGGTATGCAGGTTGACCGTAAGGTCATGGCAAAATTCTGATAAATGCACTTCAAAAATCTGTCGGATTTATCAAAAATCTTCCAAATTCCCCAGATTACTCGAAATAGACTATAAACACTTAAGATCACATGCAGATGTTGTAATATTGCCTTAATTTAGGTTCAAATTACATTATAAACAATCTATAGCCACCTGAAGTAAGTGAGTAAGTTAATAAAGATGTTATAAATGATGTATTTAAATTTCAGGCAAAACGCGGTTGCCTCAAGCCGGATGAAATCGACCTGGTTCCCAGTGAACCTCAGCACTTAGACCAGGCAACCTGTCCTACTTTGCAAGTGTTTGTTTAAAAAGATTGAAGCTTTTTTTTTTAACAAATGTACCATTTTTTTTTCAAATTTGCTATGTTTTTCTGAGAAATAGCCATTTTTGAAGAATTCTGCCAGATATCTACCAAAAACATCCATTCTGTCCAATTTGCTGTCAAAATCGTTTTTTTTAACAAAAAATCTGTCAAAGCCGAAAGTCGGCTAAAACGGTCACTATGATGGTATGCAATGTATATATTCACCCATACTGGACAACGGTATCGCCCTACAATGTACGTGCACGTGCCCGTCTAGGCTATACAGGTATCACATGTCCTAAGTTCCCCCCAACATTATTCTTAATTAATGAAATAGAAATGCACGATTTCAACAATATCCGAAATGCAAATGACAGAGGGCACTCTTCTGCCCATCTTGTGAGAAAATGATAGAAATCCAATCACGCATACCAACACGAAGCTCATCTGAATAAAAAAAGTGCCAATAAAAAAAGTTGCAGTAAATAGCATTGCTCCAATGTACTGGTTTGAGTGATCCTGCAAGGCAGGGTAGACTTTCATTAATTAATAACTTTACCTTACAAAAGTTTCCTTGTTTAAAAGGATGGTTAACTAAAACAAGACGCAATCTTGGTAATCTAACAGATAATTGCAGACCTTTTAATGCAAAGATGACAAAGAAAATGCAAATTAACTGTAACATTTTTGAAATTTCCCATGTAAAAACAAGAGTCTGTACTTGAAAGAGGATGAACAAGAAAACCAATTTCAAAAATGTTACATTTAATTTGCATATTCTTTGTTGTTTTAGTTAACCATCCTTTTAAACAAGGAAACTTTTGTAAGGTAAAGTTCACCCACAGATTCTGCTTGATTTTAATATTTTACATTATTTAAATCTGAACACAGTTGAAATAAACTTCAATTTCAATACAAAATTGGTGGAAAATGTATTTCTCTCTTAAAAAACTAACCCTTCACGAAATGTTTGAACCCATGTCTGCGGCGCGCTCTCTTTGGAATAATACGCGCTACGCACATACGCACAACGCGCACACCAGCATGCATTTGCACACAAATACCACGCCGTGGAAATAGTACTTTGGTTGCTAATGGTATAGTACTTTGGTTGCTATGCGCATAGTACTTTGGGCCTTGCACAGAAAGATAACAAAATTAGAAAGTAACATGTGACTCGCTCTCGGCCAATCAAGACACAGAATCTGTGGGTGAGGTGTTATAATAGAGATTATAACACTCTGTTTAAAACCGGTGTGAGTCTGGATGGGTGACAATTCCAGACTCACACCGGTTTTAAACAGTGTTTAATACCGACGGAACACATATTTATTTCCATTCATAAATACCTTTTTGGTCAAAAAAAAACAATCTTTTCGGTCCAAAAATCAAAATAAGTAAAAAACTAGACGTTGTTAACCATTTTTTTAAACAATTTTACTTCATGTTTTACGAAACACCCCTCTGACTATAATATGGAATGCCCCTCCACAATTGCGTGCGCGTCGCGCACTCCACCTCCATGGTCGCGCGTACTGCGCGATGTCGCGCAAAACGCAGCTGGGCTTGTGTAGTGTGAATTACTGACAGATCAGTGGTGTGAATATCGGACTTTATACAACACCTGAATAAATCCCCGTCATCTGATTGGTGAATTGTAGATCACGTGACATATTATTATTCGGTATAATGCACGGTGCGACCATGCGTTATACCCATTGATCTCCATATACACAGATATGGAGATCAATGGTTATACCCATGCGTTGTACCGTTTCACTTTGCGCTTGTTCCATGACGCGGTATTTGCGTGCAAAATGCATGCTGGTGTGCGCGTTCAGCGTAGCGCGTATTGTTCCAAAGAGCCAGCGCTACAGCGTTGGGTTCAAACATTTTCGTGAAGGGGTAGTTCAACATCTTTAAAATCAAAATAAATTGTAGTTTATAATATACCAATCAAATGACGAGAATTTATTCAGGTGTTGTATAAAACAAATAACGAATGTTTTACGTTCGTGCGATGGAAAGAATAATTTCATTCGGTGACAGATTGAATGTTCTATTCCACTCGGCTTCGCCTCGTGGAATAGAACATTCAATCTGTGACCTCATGAAATTATTCTTACCATCGCACTCACAAACATTCGTTATTTGTATAATGAAATAATGAATCACTGGTAGTATTGCGCATGCATACGTGGGGAATTTGAACGTTCAAACAATGGAACGTTAAAAGGCACCGGATTTCACGGGAGTCCAACTTTCATGTGACACTGGTGTTTAAGACCAGCTAGCCATGTCTTTATCATCCGTTTACGAGACAGGCTCTCGACAAATGGGAATGCCTAAACTGTCTTAGGTATTTATGAATAGATGTTCAATGTATGCATTTAAAGTACGGTTCTTATATTATTGGTATTCGGGAAAAAACACGACTTTTAAACATGCCTAAGAAAAACACAAAATGATGAAGTTATTAAAGCATTTCGTGGCATATTGTGTAAACCAAGTGTCACCATAATCAGACCCTCTCAGTTTTTACAAAAATATTTTACCTATAGCATTTCTTTCAGCAATTATCCTGCAAAGCGCACCTTAGATATTAAACTTAAAATGATTCCAATAAAAAAATAAGGGGAAATTTCACAGTGCATGCAGTGAAGTCATTCTAACATCTCAGCATATTTAACATTAGTACATGTACTTTGGCTAGAAAAGATGTTTAATTCTTCAGTGATTCTCCAGTGAGGTGATTCATGTCACATGCAACATTATGTTGCCACAATGATGTTACCTTTTGTGAGGATGTGGTCTATAAAATGTTAATAAAGTGTCTAATAAAATGTCTAAATAAACCATATTTAATTTGACTGAAAATGAAGGCATCACAACGAACAAAAACAACATGAATAACATCCAGGTGGCTTTTTGGGGTGCCACACACAAAGTACTCCCATTCACAACTGTAACTGAACCCTGTGAATAAGCACCACACCAAGGTGAAAATATCAGGGTGCCTAGTGCAATTGTTGCTATTTATATGCCCTGAAATATAGGTTTCCCCGTCAATTTGGAAAATGTGCATTTGAATTTGTAAAACATAAATTCAATTTTGCGCTGATTTTGAGAACGACGTATATCCGGGTTTCATTTTGGCAATAACTAGCATTCGATTTCATTTTGCATCATTCAAATAATGAATGTGCATAATGTTTCATTTAAATGATTACAAATACGTGATTAGGCTTTTGGTCGACGGATGCGTTGCCCATTATGACGAATGTGCAATCCAATTCGCAGAAAATCGATTTGTTATTGTGACACGGGCTGAATTGTACATTCTTTTTCACTTTGTCATAATTTACATTCGCAAAGTCTGCATTCAATTTAAATAAAGTATACGACTTATACAAATAATGATGCAGCTTTGCCTGATTTATTGATTAATCAATGTATTGTTGGCCTAATTGATCATTAATGGGTTTGTTCTTATGTACACAAAGGCCGTTTTGAAATAGGCAAATGAAATGTTAGAAAGTTATAAATCTTACCAAAATTAAATCAATCAAAATAGTCTTGTAAGCATATTACTGGGACAGTAAAGGGAAACATCACGTGTCATGTTACATGAGATCCGGGCGACATTTTGGTTGTTTCTTTGTCTTAATTGTATTTTAATGCTTTCTGTATTTTTTAAAGTTCTCTCTAATTTTATCAGTTGGATTGCTTGGTTATATGATGCGATTGTGGCAAATGCTGAGCAAAAAAAAGAACGATTGTGTTCATCTTAGGTTTTTATATAGGATTTATTACAATAGTTGGTAGGTTTTGAAAGACTACATCACTTTGGTTTTAATAGCACAATCATCATGAATATTCCAAAATTTAATCATTCAATCAAACATTCCTCATATGTTACTTTTGTGAACACATAAATGAATTCCAATTCTCAACCAGGCATACGTTAAAATACGATTTCGCGCTAAAATGAAATGTCAATATACTGAAATGCATTGCACATTCGGGAATTCGTATGCTGATTTTTTACGACTGAATGCAACTTCATGGAAATAGAATTATCATTTGTTAAATAGAAACAGGGATTTGGAACGTTCATTCTATTTCGCACGAAAGCGAAAGCTTCTTTAACAAATTCTTGTACATATTTTCCGAAATTGTCCGGGAAAACCTATACTCAGAGTCATTCCTCTTTTCAAATAATTATACTTTGATCACTCACAGTTGAAAATTACAAGTTATGTGCACAGGCAACTGTCTATGCGTTATACCAATCATTATCTCATTGTGAGTAGCCCATACAGAACAATGTTCAGTTCCTGCATAATACGTATGCATGGAGAGTTGGGTAGGACCGCAATATAGCTATTTAAAGCAATTTGGCTCACTAGTTTACCATGATAGTTCAGGAAACAATGAGTTGGTCCAGCCTGGCCAGTTGATGCTGGGCTAGGCCAATAACCCTTTTTCCCAACCAAGTAACATCACTAACCATAATTCACAGGAATTACTTTCCTTAGCAATTATGTCCTCCAAAACTACAGAGAAAAGGTAAAACTTCACATTTCGTTCACATTTTCAGTAAAACAAACCCCAAAGGACAAATTTATAAAAAGGCAGTTGCACTTGCCTTAATTGTTCATCCAAATGCTTGACTGCAACAAATTTGTAACCAAAATGCCTAAAAGGGCAAATTACTTTACCTTATTGTAGAAACATCAGGGGTTATGAGCAATTAGGCATGACTATTTTTTTAAACAGTCTGCTTCTGCTGCCTTAAAAGTTTGAAATGCTCTACTGGAAAGGTACGATTATGCATTAGAGTCGGTAACTTGCAGCAATCAGGACAATGAATCTGGCAATGAACCTTGTAGCAGAGCTACATTTCTGACAGCCCAGACATCACAGACAATTTGGATAGTAAAGACTTCTGGTTGTTCTGAGTTTACAGTGCATAATTATAAATATCAAGAAACTTTTTCTGACGGACAAGGTGATGATGTGTCCATTTCATTGTCAGAGGTACTACTGGAGTCTGCCTCTGAGGTTTTGTTTAAAGACTCTTCTTCGTCCAACTTCTGTTTAATTTTTTCCAGACTCATTTTTAACGCATTATACTGGAACTTTCCTCTTCTTTCACCGTACGGGTCCTGTAATAACAACAGGGGAAAATATGAGATCGACATTAGGTGTTTGAAATGATTACAAAATAATGATGTGAAACATGTTTAAAATTTGTACATTTTTGTTATGACCTATCAAAAAATTTAATAATGGTTAGAATTATTGTCTTCAATAGACATACATATAATATATATAAAAAGAAAACACTGCCATTCTCTAACGTAAACAAGAGATGCAATTTGTGTTTAGCAGAAAGGTACATAATCATATGTTGGCCAGATCTAGGAACACTAAATAAGAGAAGCGAAATCATCTCCAAGTGCAGGCATCGAGACAGGTGTGTTCTTACTTCAGTGACGTAAACACGCACTAACTTCAATGACGTAACGCGCGTAACGCGTGCGCGCGCTTGATTCGAAATAAGGTAAGATGCTACTTGTATTCTATTTTTTGTCTTTTTGCTAATGAGTGCCTTATGGAACCAAACAGTCTGTCCAGAAGAGAAACATGCCAAATAAAAGTTCGATTAGCTCATATTCTGAATTTATTGCATGATATATAATTCTATAATATTGGATGGCTTTGAGGCGGACACAAGAATATATTGCACGAGCTATGACAATATTGCACGAGTCAAAGACGAGTGCAATATTGTCATAGCGAGTGCAATATATTCTTGTATCCACCGAAAACAAGCCATCCAATATTATTATTATTATTTATATCAGGCTGACTTGATCCGCAAGAAGCACAATTCAAGACACTGTCCATTACATCTTTTTCGTTTACATCAAACGTCTTGAAGCTGCCATTATATAACCGACATACAGATCCTTGTCATTTGATTGGTGGAACTCACATCACGTGACATTTGTTATTGCTCCCATTCACGCCGCCGCTCAGAAAGTACTATCCGCCCATGGGGAATGGGAAATATTATAACACCTCACCCACAGATTCTGTGTCTTGATTTTGCTTTCTAATTTTGCTATCTTTCTGTGCACGGCCAAAAGTACTATGCGCATAGCAACCAAAGTACTATACCATTAGCAACCAAAGTACTATTTCCACGGCGCGGTATTTGTGTGCAAATGCATGCTGGTGTGCGCGTTGCGCGTTGTTCGTAGCGCGTATTATTCCAAAGAGAGCGCGCCGCAGACTTGGGTTAAAACATTTCGTGAAGGGGTAGTTTTTAAGAGAGAAATACATTTTCCACCAATTTTTTATTGAAATTGAAGTTTATTTCAACTGTGTTCTGATTTAAATAATGTAAAATATCAAAATCAAGCAGAATCTGTGGGTGAAGTGTTATAAAACAAATATTGAATGCTTTATCTCGTGGTGAAGTAAAACTAGCCTCCCGAGGTGATCCATGGACCATTCTATTTTCCCGAGGCGAAGCCGAGGGAAAATAGAATGGTCCATGGATCACCTCGGGAGGCTAGTTTTACTACACCACTCGAAGCATTCAATATTTGTATACTATTCAACAGTTAGGATCATGACGCAGTATTTGTGTGCAAATGCATGCTGGTGTGTGCGTTCAGCGTTGCGCGTATTGTTCCAAAGAGCAAGCGCTACAGCGTTGGATTCAAACATTTTCGTGAAGGGGTGGTTTCAAAGAGAGAAATACATTTTCCTCCAGTTTTGTATTGAAATAAAAGTTCAAATATATCAAATGACAAGGATCTATATCCTATAAAACAAATATTGAGTGGCTTTAAATTGTGAAATGGGAGGAATATTATCGCTCGGTCAAATCTGGACTTTTCCATTTCACTCGGCTTCGCCTCGTGAAATGGAAAAGTCCAGATTTAACCTTGCGATAATATTCCTCCCATTCCACGCTGAGCTACTCAATATTTGTATACTGTAATTGTTAACAACAGTGCGCGTATACCAGGCCTTCTGCACGCTGCATGCGCGCGGCGTGTTCCGTGTTCGACGGTACGCGTGCGCGCTACGCTCTGTTGAGTGGTTTGACAACTGTGACTTTCTATGCTCTTGATCAAGCGGGAACCTGCGAAAATGCCCGGATTGACTGCAATAACAATGTTATTGCAGTCAACTTTTTATGAAAGCATACAATATGCTGATTTATTTTTACCGCTGGAAGCCTGATATAAATATATATATATATATATATATTTGTGGGCATGCTGTGTAGCACAGTAGCGCCAATAGAAAGCGTGAATATTAAAAGTATAACAGTGCTCACGCGGTGAACTCCATGCGGCCACTACAAGTGCACCACAACCAATCTCGTTTATATAACCGACATACAGATCCTTGTCATTTGATTGGTGGAGCTCACATCACGTGGCATTCGTTATTGCTCCCATTCATGCCGCGGCTCAAAAAGTACTATCCGCCCATGGGGAATGGGAAATACTATTCAACAGTTAGGATCATGACGCGGTATTTGTGTGCAAATGCATGCTGGTGTGCGCGTTCAGCGTTGCGCGTACCGCGTATTGTTCCAAAGAGCCAGCGCTACAGCGTTGGGTTCAAACATTTTCGTGAAGGGGTGGTTTGGAAGAGACAAATACATTTTCCTCCAGGTTTGTATTGAAATAAAAGTTCAATATATCAAATGACAAGGATCTATATGTCAGTTATATAAAACAAATGGGAGGAATATTATCGCTCGGTAAAATCTGGACTTTTCCATTTCACTCGGCTTCGCCTCGTGAAATGGAAAAGTCCAGATTTTACCTTGCGATAATATTCCTCCCATTCCACGCTGAGCCACTCAATATTTGTATACTATTGCACCGCGTGTGAACGCTCTGGTAAGCTTAGCATTGCCGAAACCAAGCCCTGTCTTGTAATAACCCTGTAATAACTGGAGTCAATGATCCGACTCGAGTCCGACCCGAGTCACAATTTTTGGTGACTGGACTTGCTCGAGTCCATATGGGTAAATGACTCGACTGGAGTCACTGTGAGCAAATGACTCAGCTCAACTAGAGTCCCTCACAAGAAGACTCGACTCGACTCGACTCGAGTCGATCCAAGGCTAACAAAACTGGAGTCCAAAACATAAAGGCAAAACTTTGCGAAAAATATTTGCAATGACTTACGGTGCAAAATATGTTTACGTCACTTTTCTAATACCATACACTGGTCATGAAAATACGTACAACGTGTCACAGACTCCCACCTTGTGGTTCTGGAATGCACAAAATACTATCTTCAATCGTACCTATTTGTACGATAATATGTATTGCAAAACACGACTTATGAGCTTATTGAACTCCCTCTCAAAAATATGTCAATTGAGGGCGCACTGATCATTTGTAAGATGTCTTCAACATAAACACGATGATAATGTCTGTCTTCGCTCGTACCCCCCGCCCTGCAAACAGGGCGCTGAGATACTTTGATGAGCTTCACAGAATCTTGTGAAGGAAATGGCATATGACCTATGTATTAAGCATCTGGCTGCAGCTGTTCAAAACCGCAGTTAGACAATATGCGCAAATGCTATCCGAAAACTTCCCATAGAAATGCACACGTTCCATACCAGATGTGATTTCTGTTTCATTGCGGACCATGTGGACAAAATTTTGAGGGTCGCATAATGCAATCCGACCGTTCGTGATTCGAAACGGAGACTGAGCAAGTGACGGAAATTGTAAATTTACAACACAGATAAGTTTTACAGAATTTCCTACATTATTACGCTTTTCAAAAAATAAAATAACATCTCTAAACTGGAATAAAAGAGTAATGAATCAGTCTTAAAGGCCGTTTCAAACCTTGCAGAGTCATGACCTTGATGACGCGCAGGTCACTGGTCACGCGAAATCCAACCAATCAGAGCGTGAATTCATCAGAGTATCCCAGCGTCCTGTTTGCAGGGCGGGGGGTACGAGCGAAATGTCTGTCATGTTCCTTTATTTGTTTTGCTCCAAATGGAGGATTTTCCCCCTTCCAGTTTTCAGTACCGGGTACTTATTTCAGAGGTAGGCTTTCTGTAGCTGATGTGTTTGGGTGAATAATGAATTATTCAGATATTCAGTTTGATTTCTCTGACGAAATGATAAAGAAAATGTTAAACACTTTTTGCATACATGTGCAAAAATGTTTACTGTTAACCTGAGTTACCTGCATGCATTGTCCAGTAAGATGCGATTTATCAGTCACTGTACTCATGTAGTACTCATAAAATTCAGGAAAAGACTTCTTCATCACCTCTCTGAATATTTAAATGCACAGAAAAACACAAAGAGACTTTGTTAAAACAGCATATTAAAACATATTAGAGCACCATGTTACTACGTAGTTGCATATTTTACATGTTATAAATCTTTGAAAGATAGAGTCAAAATGCTTAACATGCACAGAACATGTGCTTTCTTTTTTGAAAGAAAATTTTAAACTCATGGTGCTACATGTAAATGTACATGTACAAATGTATCTGCATATTTTCATCTCATTTGTTTGTTCCATTCCTGGGTATTACACAGTGTTGGAGTCGAGTCCTCAAAGCTGAGTACCAAGTTCGCCGAGTACTATAAGGGCCAAGTCCAGGGCAGAGTCAAAGTACACTGTAACGAGTCCGAGTACACTGTAACGAGTCCGAGTCCAAAGCACCGAGTCCGAGTACATTCAAGGCCGAATGGTTCAACCATACATACAGCATAATATTTGAAGGAAATACAGCATAATATATGAAGGAAAAAAACTTTGCAAAATTGCATATACAGTACACACATTTCTGACCACAGTAGTCAAAAAAGTGACAATATAGCTAGAACGATGTTCAGTAAGCAGTACGCATACACACGACATGCACGTGAAAAGGCAAGGCTTTTTAACACATACAATATTATTTGTGTAAAATTCCCAAGATTTCCCTAGGAAACGGACAAAACATGCGCTTTTTGTAGCACTGAGGATTCGTGAATCGGGAGCCAGCCAAGTCCATGCTTCTTATATTTGCTCAGCGCTGCACGGTTACACGTGAGATCATTTCGGGATTTTTCCCAAGCAAAATCCTATTAGGATTTAAACTTGGGGAAAATCCTGATATAGTCTCACTGGTAACGACTTGAGTTCCACGTTGCAATGGAATTGATAACAAAAAGAAATTTACTCGATTTGTACTCCCGACTACAGGGGTCGAGTTCCCGAGTCCAAACCAACGAGTCCTTGCCAAAATTCGAGTACAAAGAATCAAGTACGGGTGAGTCCCAATAATTTTCGAGTACTGATGGTCGAGTACGGGCCGAGTACTTGAGTGTACTTGAGTTGTACTCCAGTACGAGTACGAGTACTCCAACACTGGTATTACAACCACCCATTCTAAATAAAAATAATAATAACTACAGGTTCGCGTTTGTTTAGTTACAAATAAACGCAGAGTGGTCGGGCAGGCAATTTTGTCATTAAACACTGCGGAGATGAGTTATGAATATGTTTATGTATTAAGAACAAAGGATAAAGAATTTAATCCTTTCCAGTACAATCAAGTACTTTGCTTAAAAAATGCATCTTTAACGGTTTGATAAATATCAGTAAACATTCTTTGTACACATACAAGCTATTTCTGGCTTGATGACGTCTTAAGTCAAAAACGGGAAGTGGATACTGGTTTATTTCGGAGTGGATAAATGTTCATTGTGAAGTAAAATAATATATGAAAATATGGAAAATATAAGTGTATGTATCGGTATTAATAACTTCCGGTTTGATGACGGCACAGAATTTGGAAGCAAAAGGTGAAAATTGTAATGGATAGCTACCATAGGATAGCACCATACATAATGCATCAGAACCAAGTCAGTGGCATTATGTAGACACAAAGTCAAACCCTGATGACATATCAAGATGATGACATATCAAGAGGGATGTCAACCAGTGAGCTTAAGAAAAGTACAAGATCGCTACAAGTACCAGAGTTCCTCCTAATGCCACAAGAACACTGGCCGAAGGAACCAGAAGTTATGGAACCCCTGAGACAGAGTGATCCAGAGCTTAAGAAAAGCAAGGAGAAAGTGCCGATATTTGCTGTGGAGTCTGAAGAGAACAAGGCGACAGACAAACTACTCCAACACTACTCATCGTGGTACAGGCTAAAGAAGGTTGTAGCATGGATCCTGCGAGTGAGAGAGTATTTGCAGAACAAGAATCGACGTGTGCCAAATGACTTGAAGAGGCCACTAAACAGTAGATGATCTCAACAAGGCAGAACAAGCAATCATCAGACACGTTCAAGGACAAGTCTACCCAGACGAATACCAGACACTGCACACAACCGCCGACCCTGTGAAGAAATCCAGTCCTCTCAACAGACTGGACCCAAAAATGAACAGTGAAGGAGTGATGTGTGTCGGAGGGAGACTAAAGAATTCCAAGCTGCAGACACAAGAAAAACATCCTGTGGTCCTTCCAAAGAAGAATCACATCGTCAAGCTATTGGTGAGACACTTTCATGCTGCATCAGGTCACTCAGGAAGAGAGCATGTTATGTCATTGATGAGACAGCGGTATTGGGTGATCGGAGGAAGGTCCACTGTACGACAGGTGTTGCATGACTGTTTTGTGTACAAACGCCGATCAGCTTCACCCAGCATTCAGAAGATGGCCAATCTACCAGAAGACCGAGTAACCCCTGAGAAAACGCCATTCAACTACGTCGGAGTAGACTGTTTTGGGCCATTTTTGGTCAAGCAAGGCCGAAGTCAAGTGAAAAGGTACAGCTGTATCTTTACCTGTTTGGCAATAAGAGCAGTTCACATCGAAGTTCTGCATTCTATGGAGACTCACTCCTTTCTCAATGCCTTGCAGCGATTCATCGCTAGATGTGGTCAACCAGAACTTATCAGATGCGACAATGGCACACATTTTGTCGGAGCTGAGCGTGAGCTGAGGGAAGGGATCAATCGATGGAACAAGCAGCAGGTCCATGAGTATCTTCTTCAAAAGGGAATCAGATGGAAATTCAACCCACCTGCAGCGTCCCACATGGGAGGACCCTGGGAGAGACAGATACGAACAGTCAGGAAAATTCTGAACACTGTTATGAAGCAGCAAGTTCTGCATGACGAAAGCCTTTCAACCATGATGTGCTTGGTTGAATCAGTGATCAATGGACGCCCACTTACAGTAGTATCTGATGACGCCAGAGATCCAGAACCCTTGACACCAAACCATCTTCTGCTGTTGCATCAGAACAGCGCATTGCCAGTCGATATATTCCAGAACCAAGACCAGTTCAGCCGTAAAAGGTGGCAACAGGTGCAGTATCTTGCGGATGTTTTTTTGGTACAGATGGATACAAGAATATGTACCCTACCTGCAGCAGCAAGGCAATTTGAACGAGCCAACATTGAGGAACATTGAGGTCGGAGACATCGTTCTCATTGTTGAGGATCAACCGAGAAACCAGTGGTCCTTGGGGAGAGTCGGCGAGATCTACACTGGTGAAGACAAGCTGGTCCAATCGGCAAAAATAAAGACAAGGTCAACCACACTCGTCAGGCCCATCCACAAGCTATGTCTGATGGAGTCTGCAGAAGCCAAGGAGAGATGAGGTATCAACCTTTATATTGGAGTGCTTTACACCAGTTTTGGAGTACGGAGTAGGCAAGAGGAGAGTATCATTGTGTCATTTGTGGAATTTACACATATAAATGATGTCATGCATTGAAGTATGACAGAGGTGCAAGCCTAGCGCCGCCTCTTCTTTGAGTTTTTGATTTGGCCAGACTCCACCCTACATGTATCATGCTGAATCGCACACCTGCGGACACGGGCACAATGCTTCTCAAAAGTGGGTAGGACATACCTCGATCAGAACTGATAGGAGCGCAAAGCCCTGACGGCGTGGGGTTCGGGGCCCGCTTAAGGGCCCCGAATTTTTTTTGGATTCTAGATGCTCTGTGGTGCGATCTTAGACAATTTCTGACCACTTTTACCAATGTTTTTTTGAGGAAAATAAGGTGGTGTACTCATTGCCTGCCTTTATTGCGATGTCACATAAAAAAAATTAAAAATTGGTTTCGTTTTGGGGGGGGCCATGGCCCCCTTTGGCCCCCCCTGGATCCGCCCTTGCCCCTGTCCCCCCCCCCCCCCCCCCCCCAGGATTGACGCCCATGCCTGCGGAGCACCGGAACAAGTCAAGAGAGAAACAGTTCTGTCATCTCGGACAAGCAACATTTCTGAGTTGGACTGCGCAATCTTTGAGAACATTGCAAAACATTTTTTAATCCATGATTGACGTAGATCAGAGTGCCACTTTAAAGCTACAGTAATTTGTGCATTTTGTTCGTTTGAAGCAACAAAAGAGTTCAATGAAGGATACTGAGCAACTAACCTGATGAAGTTTCAGCTAAGCTTCAGCTGTACATTCCGAGAAAAGCAGCATTCTAAGATCTCAATTTCAAATCAAAAGTTACTGAATCATGTTTTGAATTGTTTTGTAATTGCAGCTATACGCGACGTAGCGCACTGATCCGACGAATTATAACAACCGCGCGCGCGTGTGCGTCGTTCCAATACTTGTGCGCGCTGCGCTGAATAACAAAACGAACTACTAATTTAAATTTTCCTACGGTGCTTCTTAAGAATCACCGTTGGAAATGCCTTCTTTCGTTGATTACTTCAAAATGACAGCTTCCAAGAAATAATATTTTCAATACACTAAGTAATGTGATTTGTATTTCATGTACAATTTTGCTAATCTCTGTAAATAGTTTGGATTTGATTATGCACAGTATGTTTGAATTCTTGTGAAATTTGCTACTGCTGGAGAGGAAGTTACAGTGGAATTCCGAATAGATGATACACAATGTGCATGTTTTTCTATCAGATCTGAAGTAAGGTTTTTTTCTATTTGCAGTTGATTTTCCCATGATGGATCAGTTAATATTCCGTGTATTATAGCCAAGTGTTAAAATGTTCATATTTGTTATTACTAAAGTAACAGTTTCGGAAACTAGTTCATAGTTCAAGTTAAAGGAGCAACATAGTTCAGTGTAATTTTAGTAAATGATCATAATTTAGTATTCTCATTTTAAGGGGCCGGGATGTTGCGGGTAGGAAAGTTTTCGAGCTCGTTAGTGACGTCATAGGCACCGATTTTTCTTGGTCAACAGAGGGCGCTGTCAGCGCGCCAGCATTGTCACAAATTTTCATAAGTTTGTCGAAATCCGTCAAAAGGTTCCTTTGATTTTTGCATCATATTTGATAGCC